GGTCATTACTACTACCAATTGTTCCTCCAGGTTATTACTACCACCACGTCCAGGTCATTAGTGGTATTGTGGGTTATATGGATGGTGGTATTGTGGGTTATATGGATGTTGGTAGTGTGGGTTGTATGGATGTTGGTAGTGTGGGTTATATGGATGTTGGTAGTGTGGGTTATATGGATGTTGGTAGTGTGGTTATATGAATGGTGGTAGTGTGGGTTATATGAATGGTGGTAGTGTGGGTTATATGAATGGTTTTACCTGGAGTTTACCTGGAGAGAGTTCCGGGGGTCAACGCCCCCGCGGCCCGGTCTGTGACCAGGCCTCCTGGTGGATCAGAGCCTGATCAACCAGGCTGTTGCTGTGGCTGCACGCAAACCAACGAACGAGCACACAGCCGTTGTGATCAGGACTGACTTTAGTGCTTGTCCAGTCCATTTGAAGGACGCAGGGTCGTTGGTAATCCCCTTATGTGTGCTGGGAAGGCAGATGAACAGTCCGGGCCCCTGACACTTATTGTATGGTCTCTAACGTGCTAGTGACAACCCTGTTTTCAATGGGGGATGGTGTGCAATCGCATCTTGCCAAGTTTTTGCTTTGTAGAGAGTGAATTTTCGTGTGCAAGTTTCAGGTACTATCCTCTAGAGATTTTCCTGTGTATATAATCATGTATCTCTCCCTCCTGTGCGTTCCAGTGGAATACAGGTTTTAGGAACCTCAGAGCGCTCCCAGTAAATTGAGTTGGTTTTATACTCCAGTTATGCCGCGGCCGGTGTGAAAGTTCTCTGTACATTTTCTAGGTCGGGCAATTCTCCACCTGCCCTTGAAAATGGGCTGATCTGATAGTGCACCGCATACTCCAGCCTAGATAGAACAAGTGACCTGAAGAGTGTCATCATGGGCTTGGCATCCCTAGTTTTGAAGGTTCTCATTATCCATCCTGTCATTTTTCTAGCAGATGCGATTGATACAATGTTATGGTCCTGTATGGTGGTTATGTGTATGGTGGTAGTATGGGTTATATGGATTGTGGTAGTGTGGGTTATATGGATGGTGGTATTGTGGGTTATATGGATGTTGGTAGTGTGGGTTGTATGGATGTTGGTTAGTGTGGGTTTATGGATGGTGGTAGTGTGGGTTATATGGATGTGGTAGTGTGGGTTATATGGATGTTAGTAGTGTGGGTTATATGAATGGTGGTAGTGTGGGGTTATGAATGGTGGTAGTGTGGGTTATGTGAATGATGGTAGTGTGGGTTATATGGATGGTGGTAGTGTGGGTTATATGGATGTGGTAGTGTGGGTTATATGGATGTGGTAGTGTGGGTTATATGATGTTGGTAGTGTGGGTTATATGGATGTGGTAGTGTGGGTTATTATGGATGGTTGGTATGGTGGGTTGTATGGATGTTGGTAGTGTGGGTTATATGGATGTTGGTACTGTGGGTTATATGGTGGTGGTAGTGTGGGTTATATGAATGGTGGTAGTGTGGGTTATATGAATGGTAGTGTGGGTTATATGATGTGGTAGTGTGGGTTGTATGGATGTTGGTAGTGTGGGTTGTATGGATGTTGGTAGTGTGGGTTATATGGATGTTGGTAGTGTGGTTATATGGGTGGTAGTGTGGTTATATGAATGGTGGTAGTGTAGGTTATATGGATGGTGGTAGTGTGGGTTATATGGATGGTGGTAGTGTGGGTTATATGGATGGTGGTAGTGTGGGTTATATGGATGGTGGTAGTGTAGGTCAAATGATGGTGTTGTGAGGTTAATAAGATGTGGTAGTGTGGGTATACGGATGGTGGTATTGGTGGGTTATATGATATGTAGTGGGGTTATATGCATAGGTGAGTAGTGGGTCCAAAAATACTCCTGTCTGGATAACTTTCCAGCCCGCCCAAACATCCTTGCTGGCTTGTAGACTTCAATCTAAGACTCACAAAATGGAAGAATACAGCAAGTAATGTTGTAGCAGAAATAATCCCTGGAGGTAATTCAGATGAAAAGTCACACACACAGGAGCTGCTGAATTTCTGCAACAAACACACCCTAAGTCAGCAGATAGTGGAACCAACCAGACTGGAGAACACACTGGACCTTATTTTCACAAATAATGAGGTTCTGGTAAGGAGTATAACAATATCAAAAACAAATTCTGATCACAATCTAATCGATGTCCAGACTTGCATGCACAGGAGTCCTGATCGGCAAGATGCATACAGATATGAGGGTACCTTTACCAAATTCAACTTCAACAAGAAGATCATCATCTGGGATCAGGTAAACTATGCCCTAAATGAAACATGCTGGGAGGATATCTTAAATTACATGGACCCTAACCAATGCCTCGAAAAGATCACCCTCCTGGTAGCTGAAGTATGTTCAAGGTATATTCCTATAAGACTAAAGAAAAGAAGTAAGCTGAAGAGAAAGAGATGCTCCCTCTACAGGAGAAGAAGAATCATTGAGCTCCTCAAGAATGCCAGATTATCTGATACACGGAAGTGCTAACCAGGGAAGTGGAAAATATTGAGCTAAAGTTAAAGGACTCTTACAGGTTCCAGGAGAGACACGAGGAGCTAAAAGCGATTAATGAAATTGAATTAAATTCGAAATATTTCTTTTCATATGCCAAAAATAAGTCAAAAACCACTTCTAGTATAGGGCCCCTGCTCAGACAAGACGGATCCTACACTGACGACAACAAAGAAATGAGCGAGGTACTGCAATCACAATATGACTCGGTGTTCAGCGAGCCAATAACCAGTTTAAAGATAGACATTCCAAAAAAATTTTGCATGAATGAGCCTCAAAACCCTGCCAATGTAGGCCAGATTTGTGACATAACCCTAACTCCACTAGACTTTGAGAAAGTCATCGACGACATGCCCATGCACTCAGCCCCAGGCCCAGATTCGTGGAACTCTGTGTTCATTAAAAACTGCAATAAACCCCTTTCACGGGCCCTAAGTATGCTATGGAGGAGGAGCTTAGACACAGGCGAGATTCCACAGTCACTAAAAACAATAGATATAGCCCCACTCCATAAAGGTGGCAGCAAAGCAGTAGCTAAGAACTATTGACCAATAGCTTTAACGTCCCACATCATAAAACATCTTTGAAAGAGTTCTAAGAAGCAGGATAGCAAACCACCTGAACTCCCAAAAATTGCACAACCCAGGGCAACATGGGTTCAGAGCATGTCGCTCCTGCCTCTTGCAACTGCTAGATCACTATGATATGGTCCTAGATGCACTGGAAAACAAGCAGAATGCAGATGTATACACAGACTTTGCAAAAGCCTTTGACAAGTGCGACCATGGTGTAATAGTACACAAAATGCGTGCTAAAGGGATAACCGGCAAGGTAGGCAGATGGATCTTCAACTTTCTAACCAATCTCACACAGAGAGTAGTGGTAAACAGAGTTAAATCAGATGCCATAGTGAAGAGCTTTGTCCCACAAGGCACAGTACTCGCACCTATCCTGTTCCTTATTCTCATATCAGACATAGAGATGTAAACCACAGCACTGTATCATCTTTTGCAGACGATACTAGGATCTGCTTGAGAGTGTCATCCATTGAGGACACGGCAAAGCTCCAAGAAGATATAAACCAAGTTTTCCAATGGGCAACAGAGAACAATATGATGTTCATTGAAGACAAATTCCAACTACTCCGTTATGGAAAACTGGAGGAAATAATAACTAGGACTGAGTATACAAACTCCAATCACACAATAGAGCGGAAAAGTAATGTGAAGGACCTGGGTGTGGTAATGTCCGAAAACCTCACTTTCAAGGACCACAACAATGCCACTATCACATCTGCTAGGAAACTGATATGATGGATAATGAGAACATTCAAGACAAGAGATGCTAAGCCAGTGATGATCCTTTTTAAATCACTTATTCTCTCTAGGCTGGAATACTGTTGTACATTAACGTCCCCATTCAAGGCAGGTGAAATTGCAGAGCTAGAGAATGTACAGAGAACCTTTACTCCACGTAGCTGTGTAGCCCTTGTGGCTTAGCGCTTCTTTTTGATTATAATAATAATAATTTACTGCACGTATAAGTTCCATCAAACGCCTTAACTAATGGGAGCGCCTGGAAGTACTTGACTTATACTCACTAGAGCGCAGGCGAGAGAGATATATCATAATCTACATCTGGAAGATTCTGGAGGGACTGGTCCCTAATATGCACAAAGCAATCACTCCGTACGAAAGCAAAAGACTTGGCAGGCGGTGCAACATACCCCAAGTGAAAAGTAGGGGCGTCACTGGTACACTACGAGAAAACGCAATAAATGTCCGGGGCCCAAGACTGTTCAACAGCCTCCCACCAGCAATAAGGGGCATAACGGGAAGACCCCTGGTTGTCTTCAAGAGGGAGCTGGACAGATACCTA